TTACCTCTGAATTGAACTGCATGACATTTTTTTTGAAAATTCCTGAATTCAAATTCTCTCAGAGTGTTCAATGCATGCACGATAACCGGAGCGACGGATAACTTAGTAAAATGTGCAGATTACAAAATGAATGATTTTGATATAATCTCTAAATGGCTGATAAGACGGGTATCTTCACTACGTTTAGCTTGCTTAATACATGCAGCACGAAAGAAGTACCTATAAATATAATTACCTTCAACACGGGATTTTGGCTAATATGCTTTTGAAAAATACATGATGATTGAAGAATAGCGTGGAGATTACTGCAAGTACTTGATGAAGTTGACTAGCGTTTAATAAAAAATAAATGACTGCCCAAGTGAAGTGAAGAATGCTTTGCTAAACGCGAGCGGTCGCGCAGATTGTCACGAAATTACCAAGCCAATTAGCTTTCAAGGATCCAAAGATATTTGACTATTTGGGCGATTATTTGATTCTTGTTAAATAAGAAGTTATATGAAAGTATCTGTTCATGCAAAATCAAGTTATGTTCCTTATTCGAAACAACTCCATATAAAGTCACTAGTGCTGCAAGAGCAAAGTTAGTTAATGAAGAGACTGGGTATGTCAAAACTGCAAGGTAGTCGACTATGAATGCTCTCGGTAGCCTTTGTTTTTTTATAACACATTACTGGAAAGCAAAACAATACTCAACTACATTTGATTTAGCTTAAATGAACGACTTTCTGTGTTATCGTGTAGTATTGATATTGTACAATAGAGAACTGTGCCAGCTTGATTTATGTATGTTGATAAAAGGGCATAAACTTGGTTTCAGAGGCTTTATTTGGTGGATTTTGAAAATGAGCATGAAGAAGAGATTTTTCTAATTCTTTTTTCACTGGAAGGCGGTGTTTTTCTTTCAAGAAGGCATCAGGTGGCAGCCACTAATGTCATCAAAAAACGAGTGATTATTGAAAGGAACTGAACTTCGAAGAAATGTTCTATTCACACAATTCGTCTGCAGTTATTACCTTATACGACCCTTCGCCCCACCTGCCTACCCTGTTGCCAAACTCTGTCACAATAAAGACGCTTGACTACGTTCAACTTCCATGCTTTATCCACTTCGGGATG